CACTTTAGTTTGGCCAGGAAACATTTGGGGCCTTGAACTTTAATATGTGTTGACACAGAGAATTTGGGGTTATAGCATACTCCAGGGATGAAGTGGGGAGGGGGGGGAGGAATGGAGAAAGCTGCAACAAAATATTGGCAAGTAAGAATATTTTCATAACCCCTAAATTGCCATTTGTAATAAATATTTTGCTACATAATTTCTCATTTCATATTTTCAGAGGAAAAGCTAACCCTGGCATTGGCATTTTCTCACAGAACTCTTGCTCATAAGAGCTATTTCTTACATTGTGTGAAACACAAGGATGTATAATGAGAACATAATTTGGGAAATGGTATCCTAGATCACCTAGGCATAGAGCAAGGGGAAAAACTATCAACAACTCAGAGCAAGTGAGAACAAAAATCAGGTTCCCTGGGCAATTGGAGTGAAAAGCCCCATTAGCATTAAAAGACAGGTATCTGTTTAACTTAACTGTAATGTTGGAATGGGACTTAGGGACGTGCCCATGGACAAAGGAAGTCAAAACAATACATTTAAGACCTCTTGGCAATCAAAAGCAATTCAGAGCTTCAAACTAACTCTGTTAAAAAAAAAACCTACGAAGTAAGTTAGAAGCCTTCAAAGCTATTTCTCCAATGCTTTGACAAAGTAAGTTACAATTACTAAACAGAGATGTAACAAAAACGTATTTTCCTTACACAAAATAATATCTACAAAAAAAAAAGGCAAAGAATCTCATTTAAGCACCAGCCTCTTTACTAGAAAAGCAACAAGGTGTAATGGAAAGGGCACTGAGTTTAGAAGCCAAGCACCCTGGGTTGGGTCCAGGCTTTCATGTTTGCTAGCTATGTAACTGTGGGGCAATTATTCAAGCTCACAAAACCTCAGTTTCCCAATCAGCAAAAATAAATAATATTTTCATTACTCAGCTCATAGTTTTGTTTTCAGGAAAATGCCTTGCAAGCAATAAGGGCTAGAGAAATGTGTATAATTAACACAGCATCTTGCCAAAAGATAATTCATTAGTTTGTCCAGAAGAAATGCAAATTAAAGGTGGGCATTTGAACGAAACTGAAGAAAAATCGTAGAAAATTTTTGCTTTCTAAATGTTGTGAGTTATACTACGAGAAACTAAGTTGTAGAATTTGTAATTCTATTGAAAAAGAAGTTACAACAATCACTAGTAAGAAAGTCAGTCTCTTCTATAGGTCTAATATTAAATAGAAGAATTCCTATGGTGGGAAGGCCAGGTAAAACACTTTGGATGAAGACCAGTCAGGGCACAGTAGAGGCACAGGAAGAACTCCCAACTGCACCCTGGTCCAGGGATCTAATCTCAGAGTGCCATTCAATGAACTTGCCCAGGTTCAAAAAAAGTTATTTATGCCTCTTCCTTAGATTGGTTTTGCCTGCATGGGGGCACATCCAGTCCTATTAGGGTTTTTTTTAATTAATTTTTTTATTTATGAAATAAGAGAAGCATTTCCATAACACAGTATAATAGAAAAAAGATGATTGCTCATGAAACTGCAAATCTACTACGTACAACTTGTTATTCCTTTTAAATATATAATAAAGTTATTTTGTAAGTCTTTTTCCTCTTTTTATTCTTCCCTCCTCTCCCCCTGCTCTGCCCTAGATAATGACTACCATGAAACATAAATAGGCTCATCTATGTAAAATTATTCTATACACACTCCTATTTATCAGTTCTTTCTCTGGATGTAGATAGCATCTTTCTTCATATATCCTTTATAGTTAATTTGGGTATTATAATAGTTAAAATGACTTATTCAAAGTCATTCTTAAAACAATATTGCTGTTACTATACACAATGTTCTCTTGGTTTTGCTCATTTCACTCTTCATTATTTCATGCAAGTTTTTCCATGTATTTCTAAGACCATTGAGCTCATCATTTCCTATAGCACAGTAGCATTCCATCACAATCATGTACCCCAACTTGTTCAGCCAATCCCCAATTGATGGGCATCCCTGAAATTTCCAGCTAGGTTTTAAAGCTCTGTTTTTGTTTTTCTAAACAGCATCTGTCTCTTGATTTCCTGGATTCTTTCTTCAAGTCTTAGCAAGTCTCACCTTCTGCAAGAAATCTTTCCCAGACCTCTTTAATCCTAGTGTCTTCCCTCTGACTAAACACTGATTTATCCTGTAGAGATCTTATTTGTCCATAGGTGTTTGCTTGTGAGCTCATTAGACTGTGAGCTCCTTGAGAATAAAGACTACAGTTTGTCTGTCTTTGCTTCTCCAATACTCAGTCCAATGCCTGACACACAGCGAGCACTTAAATGCTATTGACTGACTGAGTGAATTTCTTAAGCCAAATTTCTTTGACCCATCTTCCTTCTACAATTTTTTCTTCTTGGATTTCCATGATACTGTTTTCCTCTGGTTTCCCTCCTACCTGGCTGACTGCTTCTCAGTGTCCTTCGCTGTTTTAGAATTCTCCTCCTACTCCTTAATTGTGGGTGTTCCCCAAGGCTCTGCCCTAGGCTCCCTTCTCTTCTCTCACTGACCCTTCTTCCTTGGTGCACTCATCTGCTCCCATAGGCTCAATGATCACTTATGTGGAGAGGACTCCCAAATCTCTACACCCAGACCTCATTTTTCCCTTGAATTCTATTCCAGTATCTCCAATTGCCTGCTAGGTGGATCTACCTAGTTGTCTTACAGACATCTCATATTCTATACAAACAAAACTTAGGGCCACCATCTTCCCTACCTAACAGGGTTGTTGTAGAGATAAAATAAGATAATATTTGTAGAGTATTTTGCAAGCATTAAGACAGTTTATAAATGCAGTTACTACTACTACCACCACCACCACCACCACTACTACTATCACTATCACTACCACTGCTACTACTCCCTCCTGCCCCTCCTCCTTATTTCCCTGTTTCTATGGCAAAAACACTCTGTTAGGTACCCAGCCTTGAAACCTTGGGATCACCTTTGACTCTTCCACTTTCTCATCTTCCCATGGCCAGTCAATTGGCAAGGTCTATTAATTCTAACACCACATCTCTGGCATCTGTCCTCTATCTCACACTGCTACCACCCCAGTTAAAGCTTGTATTATTCTTGCCCGGATGATTATAAAACCTCCTAATTTGCCTCCAGACTCTCTTCTCTCCAATTCAACTTTCACATAGCTCCTAAAAGTGAGTTGCCTAGAGTCATAAAGATAGTAATGCATGAGATTGGGTTTGAACTCCTGTCTTCTGTCTCCCAAGTTCAACTCTATGTATTGTGTCACATAGCTGCACAATATGAACTGGCAATTAATAATAGTAACAATAATAATGATGATAAGGATGAAGAAGCAGAAGGAATAGAAGGAGAGGAAGGAGGAGAAAGAGAGAAAGAGGAGGAGGGGGAAGGAGAAGAAGAGGAGGAAGAGAAGAAGGAAGAGGAAGAAGAAGAACAAGAAGAAGAAGAAGAAGAAGAAGAAGAAGGTAGTAGTAATATTAATGGTGGTAGTAAAGTAGTAAGAACTAACATCACAACAACATTTTAGTGATTTCAAGGAAGTATGGCATTTTTGAGCATCAGTAAGGATGGATGCTCAGCCACCAACACCATCACCTTTGGTTTTGACTTCCTAAAACATCAGGCAGGAGCTCTATTCCAATGATCCAAGATGCTCAAGGATTCTCCTATAACTGAGATTCCTTGGTCCTCAATGGACAGTTACTGCCTTGAAGGTATAAATCCAAGAAGAGATTCTCCTTTCCTGTATCTTTCCACAAAGGACTATGGGGAGAGAGACCACAAAGTGAGAGGAAAAAAGTAAATATTTACAGATGAGTTCCTTATCTACACAAATGAGAGTAGACTAGAAGATCCCTAAAATCCCTTGCAGGACTAAAGCCTATGACCCAGCTAGGCACAAGTTCTTTGACATTGGCAACACAGACCTAGAGGAAAGGGGGGTAACTTGGTACAATAGAATGAGCACTAACATTTGGAGGTGTGGAGTCAGAAATTCTAATCCTGCCTCTTATACATAGTACCTGTGTGACCTTGGGTAACATCCTTAACTTCCCTAGGTCTCCATTTTCTTCTCTGAAAATGAGGGAGTTCAACTAGATGGCCTCTGGGCTGCCTTCCAACTCTGATCCTGACATTATGAAAGGGGGAATAAATGTGAGATCCAGAGAGCCGGGCTTAAATCCTACTGTGCAGATGAAATCTCAGTGTACTACAAAGAATCAAAATATTTTATCTCCATATTATTTCACAACTGTTTCTTTGTTCTGGCAACTCCGTAATTACTACAGTCAAGGTTCCTTGCTGATTCTTTTGTGTTTTCCCTCTTTCTTAAGTGTATGGTTTTTGTTTTCCTGCAGCTGTGGAGGCAACCTGCCAGGATTCTGCATGCCTGAAGTCATGGGAGGGGGGCTGAGAGTGGGAGAAGCCATTAGGGACTCCCACCTATTAAGACAACGAATGGGATGCTGGGAGCTGGGAGTTCTCCTTGTCAGATCAATGCAACAAGGACCTGAGGTGAGGGAGCTAATCATTGCTGTATTTCCCAAGGAGTGGTATGTTCTCAACCCGACACATGGGTGGGTCAAGCTCAACAGCCTATCTCTCTCCCAAGGACATTAGGGGGTTGAAGGGAGAGATATGATTGGAAATTCTGGACTTAATTAATCCAGAGCTTACCAAGCTTTCTCCTAGATTCTATTATGCATTTCCATTATGCTCATCTTCTGTTGTGCTTATATATTCAAATGTTAGATCCTCTTAATAGAAGGTAAACTGCTTGAGGTCAGGATTTTTTTTGGTCTTTGAAGCCCCAACAGCGATCACAATGCCTTGCACATAGTAGGCACTTAATAAATGTTTCTTTGATTGTAAGATCAATCACCACAGATTTCAAACATATTATCAGAGTAAAAATACACTTTAAGTACACACATGAGAAAAAATAAATGCAGATGTTTACATGCAGAAAAAAAAGAAATGTGTACTTACATATAATATGTCGGATATATTCCTTCAAAATACCAGCAATGCTTTTTGGCCTCTGTACACTGGAAAGAGAGGAAGGGAAATCCATAATCAACCTTTTACCTTAGAAAGCAACTTCAAAGATTCCCAACCAAAGAAAATAAAAAAAGAAACCCTGTATTGCTAAGAGATACTGGAAGCTAGGGGGAAACTGAGGAGTATTTTTTTCCCTGAAAATTTTTATTCTTCAAAAAAAAATTGCTTTCTCAATTTCCCTCCTCTACTTCACCCTTAGGCCCTCACAATTCAAAATAAATAAAATATGATTATTTTATGGGGGAAACCTCAAGTTATAGAGAATATACTTTTATGCTGCTAAGCTTATAAAGTCATTTTAGATCTTTTAGACACTAAGATAACATACGTGTGTATTTATATATTTATTTTGTTATTGTTGTTCAGTCATGTCTGACTTGTCATGACCCCATTTTAGGGGTTTTCTTGGCAAAGATACTAGACTAGTTTGCCATTTACTTCTCCAAATAATTTTACAGATGAGGAAACTGAGGCAGTGTTAAATGACTTGCCCAGGGTCATACAGCTAGCCTCTGGGGCCAGATTTGAGCTCAAGAAGATGTGTCTTCCTGACTCTAGGCCCAATACTCCTAAAGGGCACCACCTAGCTGTCCTTTATATATTTCTATTCCCTCCCAAATTCATGCATGTGACCCTCCTACTTTTCTAGCTGTGTGACTATGGAAAAGTCATTTGATCCCAACCCAAAGTTTCTCCCCCATAAATGAGGATGAGAATAATAATTATACTACCTCCCTCCCCGGGGCATTGAGACAGAAGTGCTTTGTCCACCTGAAAGCGCTAAACAGACTCCAGAGGGTGCTCCACAAGAGAAAAGGATTAGAGTCCTGGCCCTGCCCCTGACTGGTTCAGTGGCCCTGCACAAGCGAGGGGCTCTCTCTTGGATTGAGTTTTATCATCTGTAAAATGAGAGTTTTAGTGTATTATTTCTAAGGTCCTTTCTAGCTCTGAGACCCACTGAATTTATGAATAGAGACCTGCACAAGCACATTTTTTAAAAAGCCTCAAATACAGGCAACATCACATAGTAAAAAAGAGTAGTGATTTGGAGTCAGGAAGACCAAGGTTTAAATCCTATCTCTAATTTTTACTAGCTGGCTATTTAGAGAAGCAAAGGACCTGAAATCATTCAGGTGACAAGTACCACATTTTATGCACATTATCTCATTTGAGTCTCACAATAAAACGGAGGTAGGTAGGACAGGTATAATTATTCCCCATCTTACGGATGAGTAAGCTGAGGATCAGAGAAGCCATGACTGTCTCAAGATCACTTAAAGTTAGGATTCAAACCTGCCTCCTGCTCTTGCTACTATCCCAGGACAGCTCTATAAACAATATATAAATCAAACAGGTGACTTTGCTCCTGGTAGCATAAAGAGATGTGAGGATGTTATCTGTCTGCTGTCACATGGGTCTGACTGTACTACTTTATGATGAAAGCGTATATGGCGGTTTGGGCTTACAGACATTTCAGAATCTCTCCTAGGCAGTGAATGACTGAAATTTTATTAATCAATAAATGATTTTTTTAAAAAAGCCATCAGCTAACCCTACAGTTCAGGCCATGTTGCTCAGGCAAGAGAAGACATCAATTCACTTAGTCAGAAAACAGCTGTTTTCATTGCCCCTACTCAAATTAGTCTCCATAAACCTGACATGTTTGCCAATTCATTTAATTTTACTTGGGTTCCTGAGTAATTAAACAAAGATAGCAGTCTCCACCCTCAGTCTCCCATACTGTGAGTAGTGGGTTAACCCTCTTCAAAGTATACATCCCAGGTTAATACAATCAGGGATAAGTTCTTATTATCACCTAATTTGTAGATAATGGGGTCGATCCCTAGCAGTACCAGATATCTCCTCCCCTTCTGTTGATGTCCTAGAGCCAAGTCCCCTCCCCAAACTGGAGGTGAGAAAGGAGGGAGACAGGTGGTAGTGGTGGGGAGGGACAAGCTGTAAGTTTGACAATTATTCCCAGGCTACAAAATATACATAAAACCAACATAGTATTGATGCAGTCAAAGCAACATAGGAGGCAACATAGTAATGCAGAAAAAGCACTGGCATAGCAGCCCATTTTGTGGTGGCAAATAATTGGAAATTGAAGGGATGCCCATCCATTGGGGATTGGCTGAACAAGTTGTGGTCTATGAATGGAATGGAATGGAATACTATTGCGCTATAAGAAATGATGAGGCAGACTTCAGAAAAACCTGGAAAGACTTGTATGGACTGATGCTGAATGAAGTGAGCAGAACCAGGAGAACGTTGTACACAGACAGGAACAGCCATATTGTGCAATGTCTAATGTTGATAGACTTAGCCCTTCTCAGCAACAAAAGGATCTAAGAGATCTCCAAAGGTCTCATGATGGAAAATGCTAGCTACATCCAAAGAAAGAACTAGGGAGTTTGAATGCAGATCAAAGCATACTATTTGCTATTTTTCCCTTCTGTTTTCATTTGTTTCCTCTTTCTTGTGGTTTCTCCTGTTGGTTCTAATTCTTCCTTACAACATCACTAATGTGAATATGTGTTTAATAAGAATGGATATGTATAGCCTATATCAGAGAGGGAGGGGGGAGGGAGAGGGAGAAAAATTTTAAACTCAAAAGCTTATGGAAGTGATCATTGATAAATCAAAATAAATTAATAAAAAAGAAAAGAAAAAAAAAGAGCACTGGCCCTGGAGTTAGAGGTCCTGGATTCAAATCTCACCCCTGCTTGCTTACCACCTATGTGATCTCAGGCAAGTCACTTGCCCTCCTTGCGCCTCAACGCCCTCACCTGTAAAATAAAGGGGTCTCATGCTAGATGACCTCAAGGGTCTCTTCCAAATCTAGATCTAGATCTAGAACCTGTGGCTGGCTGGTCACCAAGGCCCCTTATAGCTCTGACATCCTATGGTTCTTCAGAAAATGATATGGACAGACTTTATAAAAACCTACAGGAAGAGTCTCTTGTTCAAGGTATCATGATATTGAGAGAAATTATTATTTTTCTCTTATATTAATAACTAATCATTGAATCAGGACCAAGGTTTTTCCCCTTTTCTACTTCCTCATCCATAAATCAACCAGTATGGGAAATGTTGGGCAAAGACTTTCCTAGGCTAAGATCTAACCAAAGACAGTAAAATAAATTCTAAGTTTGTCAAATGGGTGGATTCCTGCTCAAAGTATTTACTCAGGCCTGGGAAAATGTGGATTCTCCCTTTTGTCAGACAGATCATATGGAAATTGATAAGTCTCTTTGACCAAGACTTGTGTGATCCAAGTCATGTGCCCCCAAGACCCTCATTAGAATGAGACCACATCCGATTATAATATTCATTTTCCCATTAATTGTTAACCAATCAGAGTTGATTGGTACCCTCAGGAACACAGGGCATATTAACTATGAGCCCACCACCATAAGGGATCTTTTGGCATTTGAGAGTATTTTTTTTAATCAGTAAAATGCTAACATTATTAATGAAGTGATAAATTACCCAGAAACTATGTCTCTCAAACTTTTTAAATACCACAATATGGCAGAAAGAGGCGTAGAGTTGGAGCCTAGGAACCCCAGTTCCAATCCTAACTCCAACACTTCCTAGTGATGTGACCCTAAACAAGACCCTAGCACTCTGAGTCTTCACCTTATCTGTACGATGGAGATGATGACCAAGCATGCCTTACCTCATGGGACTTTGGGGAGGAATGTGCTTGGTGAACCTTCAGTGTGCTAGGGAAATGGGAGCTAGAAGAGGCAACATGAGGGAGCTGACAAAGAGGACTGAAGTCAGGGGTCCCACCTCTGGCACATCTTGGTTGTGTGACCCTGGCAAGTCACTTGACCTCTGGGTCCCAGGCAACTCTATAAGACTAAAAGTTGAACTACATGGCCAAGGGAATGCCTCACATGGAGCCCCCTATCCTGATGAGAGAGGAGGCCTATTTCCTCATAAATAAAAGGAAGTTTGGATCAAATAATTTCTTCTGTCCTATTTAGATCTAACTCATAGGAACTCATCAGTCATTTGCTTTCTTTTCTTTGGTTGGTCCCAAGGGAATGGAATGCTTGCCCCTTTCCCTGCCCCTGAAAAGAGCATTATCTCTGCCAGTGCAGAATGTGAGTTCTAATCCCACTCCTGATTGCTTACCACTTATGTGATTCAGGGCAAAGTGCTTAACCTTCCTCAGCCTCAGTTTGTGTATTTGTGAGACTAAGGGTTGGACTAAATATCCTCTCAGACCAGCTCCAGTTCTAAATGGAAGATCCTACAATCCCCTTTTATTATCCCTACCCACTACCTATTTGTTCTGATTCTTCCGCTCCTTGCAGAAAATGACACATTCTTTTAAAGATTGTCTTAGGGTTTTGTTTTGATTTGTTTCTACTTCTAGCAAAGAAATGGAAAATCCTCAAATATTAAAAAGCATCCTTCCTATGACTTTCCTTTTTTTGTTTAAATTAATTACTACAGGAAAAGGAAAAGACTAAATCACATCAGATACTTAATGATGGGTCTCTGAAGGAGATTCAGCTCCATATCAAGACAAAACCAGTCTCAGGACATCCTAGGCAAAGAATTACAGGAGCTGGAATAGGAAGGGGCTTCTGGGGGATGGGAGAATTGAGTAAGAAGATGGATGGAGACTGAAGAAATGGTAGATGGGCTGGGGGTACCATACAGACCAGTCTAAGGATTTGGGGAGTTAGCAACAATACAAAGGAGAAGCAGCCTGATGTCTGCATACTTCCCTCCTATCTCCCTTCTTGTCTCATTGCCACAATTGGTCTTGTCACCAAAGACCCCTATGTGTATGACCCTAAGGAGAATGGTAACTGGACAGGGTTCAGGTCACCCCAGGCAGAAGTCATTGTGGGAAGGATGTCAAGAAGGAAAAATTGAGGACAATCCCAGGCAGTAGCATTAGAGAGGAAACAGAAGTCCCAGAGGTCACCAAAAATTCTCAATAGTTTTTTGTGGGTAAGGAACA